AAAAAAAAAAAAAAAAAAACACATCATGGTAAAATTAATACCTTCTCAGCTTCGCATCGAAGCTAAATAATTATATATATTTAAAATTAATAACAAGGTATTTTTTTTTTTTAAATGGACTTATTTGATTGTTGCCTATCAATCATCAAATTTACAAACAAATGGCTACATTGATAATAATTTTACATGGATATTTACACAACATTTTTGGTAAATAACACAGTAAGAATAAATTAACTGACATTGAAATTTGTTTAAAAATATGGATAAAATTGTATGAAATGCGGGTAAATTTGTAGGAATAAATTCAAGTTTATTAAAATCATTGTTTAAATAACTCTTATTCGATAATTGTGTATATTTACCAAGTATAACTAGTTGAATTTTGACAAGATTTTGTACACTGTACAATTAAATATTACTTAATTTTGGAGCGGCACTAAAAAATCATGGAAGGCAGCTGGACCATTCTGCTAACCTTCAAACATCACCCCTTTCTTTAATATTGTCAAATATAATATTTAAATTTATTAAGTTATAATGAAAATGTTTGCCTTACAATTAATTTGTAGGTTTGTTGGATAAACGAAGCAGATATAGTGAATATTTTGATAAGTTAAAAGAATTGATTGGTCAAAGTGGAAATTCGAACCCTGAATCAGGATCAACACCTCCTGCATCAACATACGGTCCATCGACATACGGTCCATCAACCGAACAATACGTTGCGGCCAGTTCAAATAATGTCGAATCTTCAGTGTCAGCAAAAGACTCTTCAAGTAGCTCTTCTCAAGGATATATTCCAAATATTGGTGGTAGTTACAAGCCTCCAACTGAGTTTGCAGGATATGAAATACCGCAAATACCTTCAGGATATAATCCTCAAATGCCTAGTGGAATGCCTCAAATGCCAACAGGGTATAAGCCTCCTCAAATACCATCAGGGTATAAGCCTCCTCAAATTCCCGGTGGATACAAAATTCCCGGTATATCTAAATAGTGCAATTGCATGATTACACAAATCATTTTAATTATTTCTTATATTTATGTTCATAATTTGCAATAAAATTATACTGTTTGTTTTAATTACTTTAATAAAGTGTATCTACTTAATATTTTATCAACACTGGAAAGTCACACCAAATATTTTAACTTCTTTAAAAATACCTGACATGTTCTTTTCTTAAAAAAAAAAACAATTTCTACTTTTAGGAAACGGTTAAACAAACCAACATACTCTTAATTACATGACTTTTAAAATTTTTTTTTGAAAAATATTTAACTTATAAAAATGCGATAAATTAAGCTTATGTATATTATAATTATTTAACCTTTACTTGGGCTTGTATTTTGTACTTACATGACATTAAAGTAAATAGAAATTATTATTAATGTGTTAATTTTTACGTACCTTCATTATAAATTTCTAACTAAATTATTCCTTCTATAATTAGCGACTATACTATAAAAATTTATACGCTCTATAAAAAACTTATTTAGACCAAAATCACATTTAAACATATAATTTATGTCCCAAAAATTTGTATGTTTTGTGTTATAAAAACATTTTTAATTATGATTATTCATTTTTATAGTGTATATATTATATATTCTTATATATATATATATTTTTTTTTTACTTTTTTTAGATATAAATTAACTAATTCACTTGATATTAAACTAAATATTTCATTTTTTACTAATAATTTGTATTAAAATATTGTAAATTAGGGCATAATTAAGGAAATAGGTGTTAACCTTGATTTTAGAATAATCTAATAATTCCTTCTAAAAATTAAAAACTATCTTAAGTTTTGCATTGAAGATTTTTTTATGATAGTGATTTTTATCACTGAAAAATATCGTCTATACTTGACTGAACTATGCTACGACCCTATTGTGCCAAGTTTCATTTTTTAATCACTGATTTTAATAAAATGTTATTAAAATATACTATTTATATTTTATTTTATTTGTCTATATCAACAAAGCGTCTGGCTTTAAATTTTGTTAATTTTTTTTTTACGTTAAACATCATTTTGTAATGTTAATACGACTGTGCTGAGTTTTTTAATATCAATTTGATTTTTAATGTAAAATTTACTACTAAACTATAAATTTTAAAAATCATAATAAATATTCTTGACTGCTTAAAAAATTATCATAATTTGTTAATTAACAAAATTTAGTCAAGTGTTTTTTCAGTCTAGAATCTTTATATATTTTCATGATACAATTTTGTAAATTAGACATAAAATAAAATAATAAATACATCAAACAATACATTGTAGCTAGCTTAAATAATGTCGAATCTTCAGTGCCAGCTAAAGACTCTTAGTACTCTTAGAGAAACTCTTCTCGAGGGTATATTTCAAACATTGAGGTGGTTATAATTTTCTAACTGAGTCTTCAGGATATAATATTTAAATTCCCAGAAGATACAAAGTACTCGGTTTATTAAATTAGTGCAATTGTCTGATTAAACAAATTATTTTTTATTATTTCTTATAATAAATTTATAATTTACAAGTTTATTTTTATCAAATAATATTGAGTAATTTTAAAAAAATATTTAGATTTTTTATCAATTTTACTATATTATTATAATTGTTCATTAAATAATTAGAACTGATGATTAGTAATAAAGAATATTAATAAAAACTACATCATGTTATATTATTTTATGTCATCTAATTTAATGTGTTATTAACAGCATTTAATAATTATATTTCTTATATAAGTACAATTTTGTCATTAACTACAAAATACAAAAGTTTTTGATTAAATATTACAAATATTTATTAAATAATTTAACAGCTCTTAAATTGTTAAAAAAATATTATTAAAACCAATAAAATACATAAATATTAATGTAGATATTAATTTACTACAACTTAAATAGATTTATTTTGAAGATTAACTTTTTAAATAAGTTCAATTCATAAATTTAAAGATTAATAAACTACAAAATTGTTCTATTATGATCTATCACGATCATTTATAACCTATAAAATATTTACTAATGATTACTTAAAAAATTATTTATTACTATAGATTATAGTAATCTACAAGAACAATATGTAAAATTAATGTTTCTTTTATTAGACCTTATTAAATACAAAAAACACAACGCGCAGCTTCTGTATGAGTTTTAAAAGTTATCTCTTACAACTATTTTATTAAACATGTATAATTTATTAAAATACATCATATTGAACATTATGTAACTTAAACATTATACTTTATATTAATGGCGCTTAATGGCATTCAATATTTAGAATAGCTATGTAGCTAATTTTGATAGCTATACAACTATTGACAATATCCCAACCAAAAAATAATTTCCAGGGGAGGGAGGGTTACTAACAAAGTGTTTTTACTCTGCATTGCAGGAACATTCAAATAAACAAAGAAAAAAAAGGATATAATGATTAAATAATTTAAACATCGCTAATAATTTCATGGGAGGAGATTACAATGTCTTATCCTCTTGGTTGCGCCAATAACTATTGTCAACGTATATGTCTACAATAGCAAAATTTTCAGTTGAATTCTCAATAAATTATTTTACTTAAATATTATGTCATCTAAATCTAATTAGCTATTTCAGTGTAATAGATATATTTCATAGTTATATTTATACCAAATTTTTAATTTATTTGTATTGAATGATAATTTAGGAAAAACATATATTATTTTGTTAAAAATGTATAAAAATACAAAATCAGTAATTAAATTACTAATTTTTCTTCAATATTGTGCATAATTTCAGGAGAATTACTAAAATATAAAGATATTTTTGATGTGAGTCCAGTCATCCTGCAAGAATTTCTATTTTTAATCACAAATAAATGATATTTTTCCCAGTGCATTTGTAATTGTGCTCATATATATATATATATATACACACATATATATATATTTATAGGTGTAGTACTTCAATATACAGGAGTGCTAATAAGGCCAATAAGGTGAACATTCTTTTAAAAAAATGAAGAAGTAAAAAAAAACGACGTGCTCTTGTAAACGTAAACTTTTAATATCTTTTAGTTGAACAGCTTTAATAAGAGAGACATCTTACCATTTATTCCAGGCTTTTCGGCCTATCCATCGTCTCTTAATCATGTCGGATGCTTTTTCTCCTATCATAATAATTGGTACATTAGTGTTACCAGATGTAACGGTTGGCATAATGGAAGCATCTACCACGCGAAGTTTATCGATTCCATGAACCTTAAGTTCAGGATCAACGACAGCACTTGGATCACTAATTGGTCCCATTTTACAGGTTCCAGCTTGGTGATTTTCCGGTCCAGTTTTTCGACGAATGGCACATTCCCAATAAGCATCACACCCAAATGGTATATCCTCGCAGCCCATAACTGGTTTTCGGTCAAGTTCCATTCCATATTTTCGTAAAGCTGATGTTTCTGATAGTCTAATTGCTATTTTAACACCATCTATAAGTGTAGCTACGTCATCTGGATGAGTTAGATATTTAGCGTAAATAGCTGGATATTCTAATGGATTAGATGATTTTAATTTGAGATAGCCTCTGCTTTTAGGATGTAACACTGCTGGTATCATTTGAATTGCCCGTTTCGGGCTATCGTCATATTTTTCGCCGACTTGTCCCGTTTTGGCACAATCAGCTAAATAACCTCCAAAGAAGTACTGTAAGTCTGGGAAATCATCAACTGGATTAGCGTATTTTGATGGCAGTATTGCCGTTACTTCTGATATGCCCGTACCCGACATAAGTCCGTCTCTAAACAATAAGTATTCCATAGCTGTTGCCCAATTTAATGGAGTAGTGGCCGAATCATTTAAAAAAAAATTTACAAAATGGGCAACATGGTTTTGTAGATTTTTACCGACACCAGGTAGGTTGTGAATTACAGGTACCTTCACTGCATTTAAATCTTCTTTGGGTCCAATACCAGATAGTAGAAGTAACTGAGGTGAATTGATAGCGCCCCCAGATACAATTACCTCATTTTTAGCGATAATTTGATCAACTTTTCCATCTTTGAAAACTTCTACACCGTACGCAGTTTTATTGACGGGATCGATCAATATTTTCGTGACAGTTGCATTCAGTAAAAAGTGTAAATTAGGTCTGTTTTTGGCTGGTCTCAAAAATGCTCGAGCTGTACTATATCGAGATCCATTACGAGACATTGTTTGAGCGATCGTAAATCCTGTATGAATTGCGCCGTTCAAGTCTCTTACTTGATAACCCAATTCCACACCTCCTTGTAAAAGAGCATGGGACAATGGAGGATGGTATGGGAATTGACCAACCGGCAATGGTCCTCCGACAGCGTGATAACCTGGGTCCATGGCTGTAGCTTGTAGATTGTCCTCTGATTTTAAAAAATATGGTAGCACATCTTGATAACTCCAACCAGGGTTTCCTAATTTTGCCCAGTTATCGTAGTCATGTCGACTTCCTCGCATATACATCATTCCATTCATAACGCTAGTGCCACCAAGTACCTAAAAAATAATATTAAAAATCAATAATGATTTTTCCAAAATAAAAATTTATTTTAATTTATTTATTATTGAATACATTAGTTCTCTAAAATTAAAAATAAAAGTTAATATTAAATAATCTTTTAGTAAAATATATTTAACCAGAACTTGGAAAACTTATCTATACGTTAATTGTATAGTTAAAAAAATTACAAACTCTAAGAATGTAAAACGAAATCCATATCAATATCAATGAAATATGTTTTACAATACCAGTTAACAAAATAAATTTAAAAGAATAAGGAAAATAAAATTTGGTTCTAGACCGGTTTATATAAATTATTCAGAACAATTTTATAACTTCTTATAACGTTATAGAAATGTATATCAAATAAATACAACGTAAAGTTAAAAAAAAAATTAAAGCATTTAAATAAAAACGAAATAATAAAATAAAAGACAGCATTTATTATATAGTTTTTTTTATTCAAGCTTTTTAATTAACATTTTTTGACGTAAAATTTGTTGTTTAACATACTTGTCACACAAATTAAAGCGATTTTTTGTTAATAATGTAAAAAAACTAGTTAATTCAAAATAAAGACGGTTAGTTAATCACAAGTCACTATCGAGCGCTTGTATTATGTAAATATTAGGCAACATTTTAACGTAAATTTTGTCATAAATTTATAAAATAAATAGTTTTGTGTTTGATAATGTTTAACCGAGTAAAAAACTGACTCAATTATAAATTCTTTTAGAAGACTTTAACGCTAGGCATTAAAATTTTTTTTTTCATATCATAAAAAAAATGGCCCATCAGTTTAATGTTTATTAAATAAATCATTAATCTAATATTTAAAAAATATATCAATCTCATTAAATGTTCATTGACCCGATTGAATTGGTGATAATATATTTTATAAATCTACATGGTTGGTATTCGATTTCTTAAGGTAGTATTTCACATTATGTGTTTTGAATAATGATTATATAGATGTATTTCTTTTTAATTTTAATTAATTTCGGTTCGCCTGTAAGAATTGTTAGTAAATTTAGAAATATTGGATATTGTTCTTCAGTTTTCATGAAGTACCGTATACTCGGAGAAAACTATATTGGTCACAGATAAACGTTCTAGTTCGCCCAGCGGTTAGTCGTTACCCAACCACAACATGAATATGATAAATATTTATTATTATACAGTATACATTGTAGTATTAATTCATCCGTCTATTGTTAAGATTTATATGTTGAATGATATTAGTAATAACATTGGTGATATAAATTATATGTATATGCCATAATAAGGAATAGAGCTCGCGGCTGTTGTCCGCTGAACAATATAACTTTATTTACTTATCATATGCAGACATATATGAGCACCGATTTAAAAATCTATTCTAACAGACTGTCTAAAAGTAATTTTCTCTCGTAAACGTTAACAAGTGGTTATTGTAAATACTATGGTATCTTATGATACTGCATTTGAACAAAATATACAATATCTATATAAATTTAATAAAGACGTATAATGAAAATATAGATATAATTTTAATACGGTAGTGAAATTAATATTTAATTTAAATTGTTAATATCCTATTGTACATAAAATGAAGTTTTCATTCTTTCATTAGTTCAACAATTTATTCGCAAAAAATAGAATAAATAAATAAATAACTATGTAAACTGATTTTCACTAGTTATTTTACAACTACGACAAAATTAGTTTTTGTTGTTCATTTAGTTTTTTGAAATAATAACAGTTATATGCAATAGGGCGCTTAAAAAATCTTGACTTTAAAAGGTAATTAACAGTATCTCTCCATTTTTTTATTTAGTACAAAAAAAATTATTCTCTGAAAACCGGACTCGATCAACCAACTCCTTCCCTTAACGCATTGGCGTTGAAGTTTGGTCAAGAAGAACGTTATACGTTTTTTCGCGTTTATTTCAAGTATTTTAATAGTTAGAGTAAAAGATTGTTGGATAAAAATTACTTAATTTTATATTTTCAATAGAAAAGATACCCAGAAAATTTTTCATAAATCTATTATTGCACTAGTAATTTAGAAAAACGTAAATTGTTTCTGAAAAATTGCAAAATTGATTGAACCAATACAAATGATATAATTTAAAAAACTACATTGAATTTTGTTGTTTTGTATTTAAATTGTATATTTTTTAGTTTTTAATTGTTTAATAAAATCGTTAATTTTTTATGTTGACGCAAGTTAAGAAATAACTGAATGTTACAAATAGGTGCTGTAGTATTATAATAATTGTTATCCACATTATTATGGAAAAATAACTATAATGATTTTTTATTAGTAGAGTGAATCGTTATTTGTGTCCATAACGTTAAGCTATACCGTTATGTAATTAAAATGTTTAATGATAATTATCTGATTGTCATATCATCGAAAAAATAGTATGTTGATTAGTACATTAGTTATAAAGACAAATTAGTATAAATTCAAATGATATACTAGTTAATAAAAATATTAGTCACGAAACTTATTCGAACATCGACTTAAAAACAACGTTAATAAATACAAAATAAATCACTGTTTTAAGGTCATATGCTATAAAACCCAGACAAAAAATCTTAGCTAATAGTGAAAATGACCTGAATTCATCTTAAATTAATATAATATTATCGTGACTAAAATTATAAACTTTTTTCATAAAAAAGTCGTTTTTTTACACATAAAAGAAAATAGTACAACGAAGTTAGATTATAAATTTATATTTACTTGTTAAATTTATTACTTAAAATTTTAAAAAAAGAATGTTATTACTAATAAAATTGTTTTATTATTAGTGTTATAAAAAATTACTCAATTTAATACATTTCTAATTTGTATTGTACTTATTATTACTTACTAGTTTTTACAAGTGTTAAATTAATACTGTAAAATGAGATTATACCTAAATTTGATTATGTTGAAAACAATTTAATAAGTTATTTATGCTGCGTATGATTGTGCTTATGCATGCACACCTATATAAAAATATGTAAGTATACATAAAGTTATATTTCTGTGTCCTACAATGTAATGTAATTCTATATTGATATCGAAAAAACATACTTTTCCTCTTGGCCAACCACATCGCTTTTCTTTTTCGCCTAAACAAGCCATCTCCTCAGGTTCTGTCTTATAGTTCCAATCTATCGAAGAACCTATGAAATTAAAGAACATTGAAGGCACCTGAGTACCGGTAGGCTCATTACCTCCTGCTTCTATGATTAATACTTTCCAATTAGGGACCTAAAAACGAAAATTTTCAATGAAAAAAAATTAATTTTTGTAGCTTTATTGTTTTAAATTAACTACATTTAAAACAGTATTTGTGTGTCTCGTAGAAATAATATTATTTAAAATGATAATCGTACTTCACTGAGCCTGCTAGCCACGACACTTCCACCCGCTCCCGCACCAACTACAATGAAATCATATTCTCTATCTGGTACGGATCTTGATACAGGTCGTCCACAAGGATCTTCGATATCACATTGTGATCTGATGAAAACTTCTAGTAAGCCCATAAATAACATAAATTGTGATCCGCCACATGTGCTGGCAATGGTCGGTCCCGGTTGGGTCACCGCACAGTTACAGGAACTCATTATTTGGCTCTGTAAGAAAAATATATTTTCATTAATTTTTCAAGTAGAAAGTTAAATAAATTGAAAATCAAAATTTTGAAATTTAATTTGAGCTGAAACATAAAAAAATGTTATATCAATCTATAAAAAAAGTTAGATTGTATGAATCTTAATGTTACATCATAAATTACGGTAGATTATTATGATTCATAATAATTATTATTGTTGAGGTAAATATTTCGTTTCAAATTTTGAGTTTAATGTTTACTAAACTAACACATACAACAGACAAGCAAATAACTCAGTAGAAACAAATATATGACGATATGTATCTTGTAAATTTAATTTTAGTTTAGTCAAATCATATAAAGCTTGTACAAGATCAAATAAAAACCTTATTTCAAATTCTGATCATTATGGTTGTATGCCATAAAGAAAAAGTTCATAATATTACTGAAATTATCATTTTAATACTTATATAATATAAATTAGCTGATAGATTGTATATTATTTAAAATATTTTGTATTTAAAGGTTGGTAATTATACAACTAAAGATTTATGATTGATCTTGAAAAAATATTTTCAATATTCTCTATGAGAAAAACTTTCTTTTTTTCCGTCATTAGCTTAAGTGAAATGCAAAGTTTCAATTTAGATCAAACCCGACAATTAGACGTTTTCTATAATTACTTAAACTAAATACCAGCATTTAAGTTAAAGGACGACCATTATATAATAAATGATAGTAAACCATTTATCGTTAATTTTAGAATTATTTCTCGGTTGTTTCTTGAATAGCCCTAAATTGATTATTGACATTAAAACAGTACCAATTTTACATTTATATATGAAATAATCGTTTGCGTAAGTCCACAGCGTTCATAATTGTTAATTATAATTATCATTGTGTGTGGTCTGCAATAAAATTATTTTGCCACCTCACACGCGTTTAAAGCGAAATACAACCCGTTATGGTCAGCAATTATCTCAAAATCTGAAAAGATACACATCGTATATCTTTTCGCTTGGCAGTACAATAATAATTGTTAGAGTAAATATTTTTAATACAATATAACTATAGTCCGCATTTTTATGCATTTATAAATGTTGTTTGAGCTACTTTTAAAGAACCCACGTTTGTGCAGATTTATTATACGAATATTATATTATAATTTTATTATCTATAATATTACATGTAACATTATATACATATATCTAATGAGTAGTAAAAGTAGAAATATTTTTAGTTTTAGGAAAAATCAACTTCCCTTTACCCCTTCAATACTTTAACAACATTTAGAACATATCAAAAGATTTCAAGCCAATAACTACAAATGGGTTCTGGCTAATGATGAGTTGGAAATAACCGAATAAAATTTCTAATTGCATTCAAATCTAAACCCAACCCATGTGCGCGTATTTTTATTGTTACAATGACTTTTTTAAAAAGCCTAGTTTTAAAGAATAATTTAACGCAATGCTCACTAAATGGGTAATTGTCATAATAAATTACCTTTTTCCATTTCTTTTGATGAATATAAAATACAGATTTGTCTATTACGCAACCTGAATACAGAAACCGTAGAATATAACACATTAATTTAGATGTCAAATTAATTACATTGTTGAGCTATTACACGATCAGTGAAAAGTAATCATAATATGATTTTTCTCTCGAAACAACCACATTTACTTTCTAGAAGTTTTTAACTCTGCAGTCATCGGTAAACTTTATTTGATTTCGATTCTTAACTGGACTTTTGTCAATTCGCCGAATTAGAGTTAAACAGATCGTGAAATCTATACGACTGATGATTAATACACTAGTCACACATTAAAATATTCTGTTAATACTTAGCCATTGTCACAACCATTAATTTAACCATTTCAGTGTGCGGCTTTTTAATGTAAAATTCAGTTTAACACACACGATTTTTGTGTTTACTTTCGCATGTTAACGGAGACTGATTTTTTTATTCACCGACGAATCTAGATGGCTTGCCTGTTGAATAATGTGGTTTAACGGAGCGGATATGTGCTGCACGATAATTTCTCGTTCACACTTATTATACAACACACACGTGGCTGTGGATTTCGGAATTGATTTGCATCACTGTAATCAACAGTCGCCGCTGCATATTTAAACTAAATATTATAGTGTCTACATTTCGTGACAGAATCCATTCCAACTAGTCGTTTCACGTCGGTAGCCCAAACAGAAACTCGTGTACAAGCGTACGTACGTCTGGTGCTTGAAATTATAATTGCATACTTAATGTTTTTGTTGAGGTTATACGTCTAGTTGTCACACGTTTTTCTGTAGGATTTACGTGGTGACCATCACAACGATACGAAAAGTTCGCAGACGTGACCAGAATTACATTGAATAAAACCGAGACAGATCCACAGCGAGTCGTTCCTTTTGTGTTGGTTACGTTTTTTTATCGTGTTCACATTTTACATAAGTACGATTAATAGTTCAATCTTATGTTTTGATTAGTTGCTCTCTCCTCCTGCGATTTGGGTTGTCGCTCTTTCGACATATCGTCCTCTTATGATCATTACGACGACCTTCTTCATTAAACTTCTCATTGTCTTAGTTCTTCTTGATTTTGGGTCTGCCGACATTTTCATTGGACCGTGGACGGCACATCTTACTCAAAAATCACTAATGTATCTTAAAGTGCACTCGTTTCATTTACGTTTCCTGTACTCGGACATTATAGTTCAGTGCAGTGGTAAGCGATTACACAGTTTGAATAAATACTTGCTCAGTGGTGCATACATCTTAAAAATTATAGCAAATGGGATATTTCTGTTAAGTAACAAATACCATAGTCGGTATTGACCTCATTTGATGTAAATGAAATGACATCGATATACCAAAAAGTATAACAATAATACTTTTAAATGCATATTGCGTGACCGCAATGGCAATTTCGAAACAATTTAATGTTTTGCTTAATTTTAGTATCAGTTGATATAATTTTTGTGGCTGATACGCATTAAGTCATCTAAATAATGATTTTTAACGAAAATATATTATAACAATTATTGTAAAAAACTTTTTTTTATTATTTTTCTATTCATTGGAATTAACTTAATAACAGTCTAAAATGCTTTACACATGCCAATCATTATAATTCATAACACAAATCATGTTTCAATTAAAATTAATTCTGAAGTAATTAGGATGCAGATGGATTCGGGAAACGAAACCATAATGGCGGAACGTTTTCCAGGAAGTTTCATCAAATTTTCGTCATGAATTCTGTGTAATTGTCTGGCACTATCTTAATAACTCGAGGTCAATTTTACGCTGTTTTTTTTATTAAAAGTCTGGCTTTTGTTACTTAAAATTTATCATTAGTTTTAAAATAATTAAACAAGTTTTTTCTTCACTTTTATCTATTTGTTTAGTTCACACAAGCCACAAAATAAATTATGTTACTTTTGTTAGAGGAAATATTTATTCAAGGTTGTGTACGTATCTAAATAAATCATGTTGAACGGTAAGATTTTTACCGTTCATTCTGAATTAATGAAATATCGCAATCATTGAAAAGTTTTTGCTATAGTGGAAGTTAACCAAGAAAACGATAACCTAATAAACCGTTGAGCTATTGTCACAGTAATATTAACAAATCTGAAAACCGTATAACCCTTCAATATTCTTTAATGACTCTAACTTGATAATTAATGTGACATTCATAATTACAATTGATTAAAGAATTGACAAATTTTAGTACGTTCACAGTTATTTTTCATTTAAAATATTAGTTTAAAAGCAATCGAGGAAATTTGTATTTATATTTCTATGTAAATAAAATTGTTTTTTAAAATCGTAGTAAATTGTACTGGATTATTTCGATCGGCAATAATTTCCATTTTGAGTGTGACTAATACTTATTTTTAACTTTTCATAAATTATTACTTTCCGAACTAATTACCTCAATTTATATATTTCCCATGACATCATAGAACTCGTGTAAGGTAAAAACGGTTAATGTCTTAAAGTAATTGTTCATAATTAAAATAAAATATGAACTGTTAGAGTTCTGAAGTTATAATCTTGAAATTTTTTCCTTAAGTGTTATATGATTGTGTGTACATGAAAACAAAACGTATGTTTGTATAAAATATGTATGAAATTTGAATTTAATTAAATTTAATCACAATTTAAAAATACTACAATTTATTTTATAATATTTACTAAACAAATAATATTTTCCCAATAGTTTTTTGATAACGATGATGTATGTAAGAAGTGAATAGTATTGTTTATAACAATGTTATAGCAATAAAAATTAACGCACTGAAAATATATTATAATGAGAATACTTTTTTTTTTGAATCGAATGTAATATGTTTCAATCAAAATTTGTCTATTTTTTAATTTAATCGATTTGATAACATTAGTATAGATATTAACATTTTAATTGCATTTATATGTAAATTGAATTGACCTTATTATAAAATAATTTATAAATTACTTAGATTTAATGTTTAGTTAAAATTTAAAAATAAATAGATAAATATTTTTTTTATTTTGCTATAAACTTTCAAATGTATAACACTTATATAATTCATATAACTATAATTTAAATTGTTACTCAATAAAACACTGAAATACATATGTATAATATAATGTTAAGTCGTTCTTGTTTCAAGTGTATATGTCGTATATTTATTTATATTTGCAAGTATGCCTTTAATGAAAATAAATACTATTGACAAGTTTCAAAATAAAAGGTACAAGGGAAGTAGTTAGGTTAATATTTCTTATATTGACCAAAATATTAATTATATGAGAACTTCGATAGTTAAAATTAAATGAAAATTTTTAGTGATTCGCTGAGTTTTTTGTAATCGTGTTTAAAAATTAATGTAATTCTGTTTTAACTATTATTTGTTACTGTATCTAATAACTATGAAATAAATCTATCAAATATAAATTAGATAATTATCTTACAAATAATCATTTTGATAATTGGTAGTAATAATTGTGCTGTTTATGGAAATTAGCTAT